CTCCAGTGATACACCCTTACAATAGATAGTCTTTTCCTAATCCCTTCATTGCTGCCCTTCCAAGTCTCAGTCTTCTTCAGATTTTTTGGCTGCAGTCTCCGCTGGGATTGATGATTGAACCAGGTTATACAAAGTCTTTAACTATTTAAATTTCTTTATTGTCAATGCTAAAGTTGTGTAATTCTTCTGTAGTCATGATTCAACTGCAATCCTGCTTTGGTACTTTCTTCTTTCACTTTCTGCCAATACGTAAGATAGTGTCATCTGCATATGTTAAATTATTGACGTTTCTTCCCTTCCTTCATCAGAGTCTGGCTTTCTGTATATGTTCTGCATACAAATTGAACAGAAAAGGAGATAAAATGCATCCTTGTCTGCACTTCTGCAGATTAGGAAATCATTCTGTCTCTCCATATTCTGTCCTAAAAGTAGCTTCATGTTGTTCGAGATAGAGAGCATTATTATCTTCAGAGCAGCATAAATTCAGAAACGCATGCTGTATTTTTACAGGTTAAATAATAAGCAGTGCACAGCGAGTCCAAGAGTGATTTATGAATATATTGTACAAGAGTTTTTCCCATTCTATTGCTTCACACACCCCCCCCCAACAAACAGAAATTTATGGCATGGTGGGGAAAAAGGGGAAGAACAACAATGGGAAAAAGAGACAAACAAATATGGAATAATTAAGCAGATATAATATATCTTAAGGGACGTGGTGGCACTGTGAGCTAAACTGCAGAAGCCTCTGTGCTGCAAGGTCGGAAGACCTGCAGTCGTAAGATCGAATCCACGCAACGGAGTGAGTGGTCTCTTGTCCCAGCTTCCCGCCAATGATCGAATCCACGCAACGGAGTGAGCGGTCTCTTGTTCCAGCTTCCCGCCAACCTAGCGGTTTGAAAGAATGCAAAATGCAAATAGATAAAGTACCACCTCGCTGGGAAGGTAATGGTGTTCCGTGTCTAGTCGCGCTGGCCACGTGACCACGGAATATTGTCTTCAGACAAACCCTAACACTATGGGTTGGAAACGGAGATGAGCACCGCCCCCTAGAGTCGGACACGATTGGACAAATTGTCAAGGGAACCTTTACCTTTACCCAATCCATCTTATCACTACAAAGTCTGTTTCCCCAATCAGTATTGTAATGTATTGTATGTTTCCAGTACAAACAAATTATTATTTTACAGCCAAAGATTGTCTTCTGGGGCTTGTGTCCTCCTTGAAACATCAAAGCATCAAGACTATGTTGTATCAGCCTTTTTGCCATGATTGGAATAGCTACAGATTGCAGCTACAAGCAAAATTAACCTTGGCGGAAGGTTCATAAGTAAAAACATATAATGCATTGTGTGTATCTTCTTTCAAATGATTAAGGACTTTGCGGGGGGGACTTGGCTGGCAAAGACTGTTTAACAGCCTGGACCTTTCAGCCAAGACGAGCTGCCATGGGAGTGAAGTAACTCCCTTGGAGCTGGGACAGAATATTCTCTCAGCCCTGGAAGGATGGAAAGCTACCAGTTCCATCCCTGCTGCTTGGGGCTAGAGGCCCCATCCTGCAATAGACTACAGAGACACTGTTTTTCTTTTCTTTTCTTTGTATGCTGACTCCAATAAAGCTTAACTGATCACCAGCACCTGCTGCCTCATCATGGATACAGTGGCTGGGGCCACTCACACTAATCACCCATCTCCTGAAAAGGACAAAAGCTGATCTCACAGCCATAACTTCTCAACTCCCAAGCAAACTGTACCAGAGCACAGAGTGCTGTCCTCTAAAGATGCCAGCCACAGAAATTAGCAAAACGTTAGGAAGAACAACCTTCAGGTCATGGCCAAAGAACCCGAAAAACCCACAACAACCATTAGATCCCGGCCGTGAAAGCCTTCGCGAATACATTGAAAAGATTAGCTTGTGAGAGTAAATGTCATAATTCCCAACATTATTCCCAGAATCATTTGTGTTCCCTAAATTGGCGTATTAGCAAGTCACATCAGCCAACTAACCTTATATATAGGTTGGACTATAAAGCATGTATTGTCTTGCTGGTTGGGGAATTCTGGGCCAAAAAAGTAACTTTTCTAAGGATGTGAATCAAACAGCAAGAAAGGTTAATGTCTAAACCACACTGGAAAGGGTCTCTTTGCTGGGAGTAATCTCCCTTAAAGTGACTCTTCTATCCATCAGAGGATTGCTGTAGCCTGCCCCCTAAAAAAGAGTAACCCTATTATTGGACTAAGAAGGTCCAGTTTGGGCAAGAATCAGGGTGAAACTGGAGTGCTATTGCCTGTACATCATGCGATCCCTGAGAAATAGCTCACAAGAAATTGTGCCATAAATGGTCTAAAATGCACACTATTTCTGGTCTGATTTCACCCTAGTAGAATTACTCATGTGGGACCTTTTGCCTGGTTTCTAAGTCATAAGTCCAGAAAAATTATTCTGGTTAACTGGAAATTCACAGAAGCCACCATTCAATAAACAATCAGATACATGTCAACATCATTTATAGAAACTTATTCAATAGGTTAATCACGCAGACACTACATGTCTGATTTCTAACCGCCATCCATAGCTTAACATCTTTTGTACTTTGGCCTGCACTGTTATATGACAATACACTGAGGCAATTGTCATTTTTATGGCTAGAACATTTATGTTTGCAGCCTTTGGCCCATAAGATTTTATGCTTCTTGTAGCTGGCCGGGAAGGGGGAGGGGCAAGGTGGGACATTCCAGATCTTGTTGGACTGCAGCTCCCATCAGCCCTTCTCACTATTGTCAGTGGTGAAGAATGATAGAAGTTGCAGCAATACCATCTGGCAGCCTGCACATTGCCGACCTCTGCTAGACTGATATGTAGGGAAATGCGATATTTTAACAACAAGAACTAGAAAAGTTTCAAAGAGTTACTCACAGTTGAGTGATCAGTGACATTGCGAGGAAGCCGTTTGCGCCAGGTTGGCGGATAGCTGAACAGATGTTCTGTGGTTTGATGCCCTTACCTTTCCAGAAAGTGCCCACTCAGAGGCAGCACCCAGAGAAGGAGGGGCAAGGAAGCTGGGCACTGCTTCTAACGGGGCACTAAACCACAGAACATCTGTTTAACCATCCACCGAACCAGCACGAACTGACAAACTGCTGGTTCATGCCCATCTCTGCCCCGTACACATCCCAAAACAATGGAGTCTATTACATTTGTCTTACATATGATAAAGCTCAGGAACCAGGAAGCTCAGGTAAATTCGTCATTGTTTACAGCAGTGCTTCTCAACCTCATGGATGTGACCCCCCCCAAAGGGAGTCACAATGTATTTTCTGGGGGGTCATGGGTTACCTTATATGTGTTCTAGCCCTTGTTAAATAATTTCTTCCTTCATCTTTTGGAGCTGGATATTGAAGTTAGCCTGTACATGTCTGTATGAGAATCAGACCCTTTGGGGGAGAAAGAAGCCTCTAATTCCTGAAGGGGATGTCTCTACCGCATCGAAAATGCCTTTTTATGAAAACATAGTGGGGTGGTGTCCCAGATTACTTGGCTATTATAAAAGGGAGTTGCGACTTGAAAAAGATTGGGGATCACTGTTTTACAAGAAACCAGAGGTCAAGTGTAGATCAACCTGTCTTTGTATCCCTGATATCTTAGGTCATATGACTGGTTTGACTCCCAGTGCAAACTGACCTCTTCTAAATTTGAACCAGCATGTACACATTTCCCAATAGGCATTGCTACATGGATAGAGTGATATGGATCCCAATATGCTTGGCTACATAAAATACAAAAAATACAGATTTTTTTAAAATAATAAAACATGCCAATAATAAGGAAAAAAGAAGTGAAAGGGGGTGGGGCCTAGAAAGGAATAAAGAAATAGATTTCTGCATCACAGAATAAGCTGTGGTCCACCTCAAATTATATACCCTTGCATCCCAGAGTGACTGTGAGATGCCAGGAAGTTCAGTCCAGCCCAGAGATTTTTGTACACACAGAGCACTATTGATTTTACCAATCTAGGCCAATCATAGTAAAACCAATGGAAACCAACAAGGAACCTAGTCTTTTGCTGAAATAAATGCTCAGAGTCTTATCTCAAAGGGGTAGGTTTCACATTCATGGAGTGAGAGATATTATGTCAGTTTATTTGTGGTGCAGAGACATACAAATGTTAGCTATGCTGGAAAGTTTCCTGAGGATAAGGAATTGGGAACAAGGAAATCACTTTGGCCTCAAGTCTTTCAGTACTAAATACTGTAGAGTATTCTGCTTATAGTAAATAATAAAAATGTCTTATAAACTCACAGTAAAGTTTTCTCCAAGTGCCTCATCTTGCAGGAGTGTTGTTGTTTCTGCCTCTCTCTTAGTGACAAGCTATTTGCCTAACCCTTTGCATAACTCTCCTTGAGAACAGACATCGGATGACTGTTATTGTCGCTCATGCCCCTGGCGCCCATTCATGTTTAAAACAGAAGGATGAGCACGACTTCTCGTTTTAACCACAGACCGTGCAGATGAGGGTAGAGGGCTGAAACATCCCTTTTCTTGTCCACATTCTGGAATCAGTCTTTCTGCTTTTCCTAGAAAGCATTAAGACAAGGCCGTGTGGTTAAGGGTTACACAAATACTGTACAAGGGTCAGGTGACACCTTTATTGAAGCGCTAAAAAACCACATACTGTATATTGCAAGCTTTCCTTGTTAAAAATCACCTTTATTGAAGCGCTAAAAAACCACATATAATGCAAGCTTTCCTTGTTAAAAATCTCTTTCGCAGGCTGTGCACCACCCTTTTATGGATAGCGTAGGGAAAAAATTGTGCCAAAAGTTCACGGCGGACGTCCGTGCCCAATGTTTTTCCCAGTGGGGGAAGGCGGAGACCCTTCTCAGCAGCCCCTACGTTCGCCTTTGAAAGGGAGACCGAATGAGTGCGTACACACACACCCCTTTGAGGCACGAAGTGGCGGGCTCACGCTACCCGGGCTTCTTTTTCTTCGCGCCCGCCTCGCCAGGCGGACAAGAGGCGCCTTCGGTTCCTCAGCCGCCTCCCCTGGCTTTTACCCTCCACCTCGAGCGGGGATTTTGGACAGGGAGAGCGCGGGAGGCGAGGCTGGGAAGAAACAAGGCGGCCCGTCCCGCCAGAGCTCGCTTGCACTTCCGCGCCCTTCCAAACAGGGGCCACCCCAGGGCGCTTTCCCAGCTCGCGCTCGCCTCCTTAGGAGCGCTATTTAGGTGCTCTTGAGGCGGGCTGAGGCCGTGCCAGCACCGCCTCTTTGTAGCTCCACAAGTTCCGGCTCGTGGGTTGGCTCTTTCCCAGCCGGAGCGAGAGAGAAAGTTGCCAGCTCCTGGGCTGAGGGAGAGGAGCTGCCCGTGGAAAAAAGCGGGACGGCGCGGAGGGGAGGCACCCATGGCTTCTTCTGCCACCGCCTTGTGGAAGAGAGTCGCCGGCGAGGGTTTGGCTGCCCTGGCGACTCGCCCTGGCCTCCGGGCCATTCTTCGGTTCAGGTACGGAGCCAAGGGACCGGAGCGCCAGGATAAATGGTGGGCTCCTCGGGAATTGCCCAGGGGGAAATGGGGTTGGAGGGAGCCGGCGAAAAGGGGTAGTGGTGGGGATGGGGGAGCGGTTTAGCAGGTAGCGGGCCCCGAGGGCTTGGGGTTGCTATAGGTGGAATGTAAGGTTCCCAGCCTCGAAGACAGAGGAGGGGAGGGAGAGCTGTGGGATATCCGTGTGAGGCACGGAGGGTCTCGGGGTGGCTTTGCCAAAGAAATTGGGGTAGGTCTTTTGAGGGAGGAGGAGGGGGTCACGGGAGGTCACGGTGCGCTCTGGAAGGGGAGGGAAATTATAAGTACTGTATTTGGACACCGGCTCTTTGGGACTACTGTAGGTGAGAGCTGTCAAGAGACCATTAATCCCCAAGCAAGCTAGTGCAGCAGAGACAGCGCAAAGTGAATTTTTCAGGGATGTTTTTTCTCCCTAGGTAGCCCTGGGTCTAGGCATGTAATCGTTCTGCACATCTGAGCAAGCCTGAGAAATTTGGACATTAACTCTCACTGCTTTATTCCTTTACTTAGTCCACTATGTGAATTAGGAATCTGACTTTCCCAGTTTTTAAAAAAGGAATTATTAAAAGGAAGGAGGTTGTGCCTTGAGGATGGTAGACAGAGAACAAGTCTAGATGTCTCCTTATCAGATGTTTCATGACAGCTTTCTTGTTCTGTGTTTCTGTAAGCCCAACTATGGCAACTTTAAGGTTTATCTCTGCTGTTATCTCCGGTCTCTTTGATCACAACAGGGAGAGTTGTTTCAGACTCTCATGCGGGTAGGTGGCAGCTCAAACCAGAGTGAAATATATGAAGCCTCACACTACTATCTTGAATACACAGGGACCTGTAGAGTTATTTCTTCATGTTACAGGTGTTTGAGGAGCAAAGAACAGTTGCAGCTTGATCTGGTTCTTTTATCCCTGGAATATGCATCCAGTGGGTGTCGTTGGAATGCAATTCTCATTATCCCGCACCATTGGCCATACTTGCCAAGAGCGATGGGAGTTGTACTCCAACATCTGGAGAGCCACAAGTTGCCCACCACTATTTTTCACTGTTTATAATCTCAATATTTTAATTGGGTGAAATCTTTATGCTATACTGTTCAAACTGGCAACTGTTATTAGGCTTGTGGTTGTATTATATACATATGAAGGCCTGATAACAACCCTGAAAAATAAAAGAAAGCTTTTCCCTGGGTGTAGAGGGCAAACAAAGTGAAGCAGTCCTTCCTTCCTTCCTTCCTTCCTTCCTTCCTTCCTTCCTTCCTTCCTTCCTTCCTTC